GACAAACTGACTTCTTTGATTAGAGAAAGGTCATTATTGACATTCATCAATGACTGGAAACGTCTTATGGACTTTTTGCATGAGGAAGAAAATGATTTTGTGATTTATGGTTTTGGTGATTAGAAAGAATAGGTTATAGAAAGAAGGGAATTATGATGAAATTGGAGAGAGTGGTTTGTTTAGAATTGTATGTATAACTGCCGAGAGGGACATCTTTTTCACACTTACTTTGCTATATATTTTCTTTGAACATATTTCTTATTATCTATGTAAAATCTCTTAATAAAAATTATTTAAAAAAAAAAGAAAAGAAAGGAAACAGAATTTGAGCAAGAGCCTGGATTAGGGATGGTGGGCATGTCATCTGGGTGGTATGTGGCTCCCCAGATGCCCAGTTCCTTTCCCCTAATCATATATTCAGGGATCATACTATTTGCTCACTTGGTGACTTTTAGTCCTTTTTGTCATGCCAGCCTCCAAATGTCACAGAGGTAAAAAGAGAGCTAAAATGGGTATTCGTAGACTGACCATTAATTCCTCTTTCTCTGCCCCTTTTCAATGTACATTTATGTTATAAGGCTCCAACTTTATCAAGGTCAGGAAACATGGAATATGCTGAAGGGGAGGCACTGGCAGATGTTCACTTTATTTAGTGTTACTGTTTTTACAACAGAAGAATTATTTCCAAGAAATATACATGGGAAGTGGGAATATAAAACCATTAAGTCCAGAATCACTTAGCTTCACTATTGGTATTCAACCACAATGTGAACAATGATCAGATTCAACCATTACCTAATGAATCAGGTAATAATAACCAGATTTGCAAGATTCTGTTATTATAGCCAGTCTTGATAAACCTTCCTGTTGAGTTGATTTCTTGGTCTGGTCTAACTAGTGGGGCTAATATCAAACTTGGAAGTCTGACACTGCTGTACCTCTTCCTCCTTATACCTCAGTGAATTATGGAGGTGTCTGTCTGAGCTATTTCTGAATGTTATCTTGTTGTTCTGGACTTAAAAATGTATCAGCCCCTTTTGCCTAAGTAACATTTCCTGCATATTTCTGTCAAGGTCATCTTCCTTAATCTCTATACCATTACAGCTACAGTAGCTTAACTGATACCTATATAGTTATGATATCGCTGCTAAGTGAAGATCTTTTCTTATACATACACATGCATGCTCTTTACAGTTCATGCTGCAACATCTGCCATTTTATATTTGCTAAAGTAGTGTTTGCATTTTACACCATTACAGGTAATCCTCACTTAACAACAGTAATTGGAATGGGAATTTCTGTTGCTAAGTGATGCAGTTGTAAAGGGCAATGTCATATGATCACATGGCTTAGTGACAGCAATCCTGGCAGTACCCATTGCTGTCGTTAAGTGAGGATCATGGGTCATTAAGCGAGCACCTCCTTGTAACTTTCTGCCAGCTTCCAACAACCAAAGTCAACGGGGAAGCCAGCAGGAAGTTGCAAGTCCTAGGCAGCTTGCAAGCAGGCAACCAGGTAGGCAAGTGGTATGCACAAGTGATTTTGGGCCTGGAGGTAGCTGCTGTTGGGAGGGCCCGCGGGTGGCCACAATGGTATATGTGATTTCAGGCCTGGGAGTGGCTGCTGCTGGGTGGGGGAAATTTACACTGACTTTGCTTGTGGGAAGCTGGCAGGGAAGGTCGCAAATGACGATCACATGACTGTGGGAGGCTGCAACCATCATAAATGCAAGCCAGTTGCCAAGTGCCCAGATCGCAATCACATGATTGTGGGGTTAGTGGAACAGCTGGAACTTTGAGGACCAGCTGTAAATATCACTCATTCAGGGCTGTTGCAACTTTGAATGTTCACTGAACGAGTGGTCACTATGCAAGGACTATCTGTATTTTATTTTGAAACTCACGTAAATCACCTGAAAATATTATTTTTGAAGGATGGGTTATCAACTTTGTAATGATATAAATAAAATACAAGAAATGCAATTATTAATGCTACAGCTTGCATCTTCCTGAGAATTCTACCTTTCTTTTTTAAGCAAATGTATAAGGAGTTATAACACATGATTCTGAAGAATAACTTGAAAACATAAAATAATCTTCTGGTACTTTAGACTAACATGTTTATAATCATATAACAAGGTCTTCACAGATCACAATTAACTTCAGCAGTGGCAACTGTCGATCCTTAGAAGCCTCAACTGCACTCAGATCACTGCACAGGAGTGATACCAAGTACAGGGGTAAGTGCACATGTAAGAAAGTGTGCCTGTGTGTAAATACAGCATGCAACTCACCACAAAGTGTGCTTATACATTATCTTGGTGGATTATTACTAAATCTAATGAGATCAAATCTATATTCCAGGAAGCACTCCTTTTGACCAAGTACTTTCTGACCTTGGAGATTTAAGCACTTTCTGTAGCAGCTCCAATGGCAGCTTCCGCAGGTAAATCTGGGAGCCAAGCTGTGGGACAAGGTTTACTTCAATCCATCTTTCACAGTCAGTGATCAAGGAAGGTTGCTTATACTGTTTCCAAAAAAAGGAGGGGGGGGGAGAGAGAAGTTAAAGAAACTCTGAACTCTAGAACCATCTTGTGGTGGAAACTGGAAATTAAACCAGTGCATCTGTATATGAGTGGAGACAAAAAGAACATTCATTTCTTTTTGAATGACATTTTAATAGTTGCAAATCTAATCTTATAAAATGAAAGTGCAACTAATTCATTTAGAATTCCCACACCAGGAAGCTGTGATTTTCAGATCTCTGTTGAGTTTGTACTCTGTGCTAAGCCTCTGTACTGTCTGTGAAAAATATCCCTGGCCAGACTGAGTGGCTTTTGAGTCCTGCTGGTTCTAGGTCTATGCCATCTTTGGTGCTGGATGGTGTGGTACTGCCCCAGACAGACCTGGTACGCAATCTGGAGGTCCTCCTAGACTCACAACTCCTGCTCGAAGAGCAGGTGGCAGTTGTGTCTAGGAGAGCATTTGCACCGCTTCGGGTTGTGCACCAGTCGGGCCCCTTCCTGGATTGGGAGGTTTTGCTTACAGTCACTCATGCCCTAGTCACCTCCAGACTGGACTACTATAATACGCTGAATGTGGGGCTGCCCTTGAAGAGTATCTGGAAGCTTCAACTGGTGCAGAATGAGGCAACAGAGGCACTTATGTCTGTTCCTAGAAGAGCACATATTACACCTCTGCTCCGTGAGCTGCATTGGCTGCCAGTTTGCTTCCAGGTCCAAGTCAGGGTGCTGGTTTTGACCATTAAAGCCCACCATGGCATGAGGCTGGGTTATCTGAGGGACTGCCTCTCCCCAATTACATCAGCCCGTCCCATTAGATCTGGTAGGGATGGTATGCTACGTGTTCCATTGGCCAGGGACTTGCATTTGGTAGTGGTGCAAATCCCTTCTCTGCTGTGGCTCCCTCCTTGTGGAGCATTCTCCCCCCTGAAGTGAAGCGCACCCCTTCCCTGCTGTCATTTAGAAAGTCCCTCAAGATCTGGTTGTGTCATCAAGCCTGGGGATCTTTGGGAACCGGAGATATTCTTACTTAGATGGCTCCACTGTGACTGATATTCTTGCTATTTCTGTGGGGTTTGTATATTTTTTAAAAATTGATAATATTCTTATTGTAATCATTCCTTTTGATCCTTTTATAATGATTGTTTTTATCTAGTTGCTGTTTTATTCAATTGTTGCATGCCTTTGGTGAGATGGGCGGCCATATAAATGTGATGAATGAATGAATGAATGACCATATGCCTGTTAATACACAGTAGGGCAGCACTACTGTATATATTAGCTACTTTAAAAAAACTCATTAAGTTTGCAGCTCACCTTGCAGCCTGCAGTATAATATCTACAGACATTGGCTGAGCAAATGCTTCTCCTCATGACCTGGATGCACCTGGAGGGCAGAAGAAATTGAGTTAAAAGTGAGAAGACGGTTAAGGGGAGAACGAGAAGAAGGAAGTGCAAGACACAAGTAATCATTCTAGTCTTTGGCTCTCTACAAGCAAATGCCCACCAGATGCAATGGAACTGCAAGTCTCAGAATTATCTTAGCCACCCAGTCTCTCAGTGATTCTTTAAAGAATCTGCTTGGAGAAGGCGATTTCAGGGATTTCAGTGTGAGTTAGGGATGAATTTATCTTCCTGACCCTTCTTACCCAGCTTAGCCCACTCAGTAGCATTTTTGTCCTCTCAGGGAGCATAGGCGACTGCTGCTGCAGGGAAACAATGTTTGTTTGGTTTGGTTACCTCCTGTTTAATTACATACAACACGATTCTCTCAGGGACAGTATGATTTGTACTTTGGACAAATACTCTAACTCTCTGGAGGACAATTCAGGCTGCCTGCCCCACCTCCCTCCGGTGTGGTCCAGATAAAAATGGCTGCTCCTTTGAAGTTTCCCTTTTGTAACCTCCATTAGCAAAAAGTAGCTATTTAGAGTTGCTGGCCAATCTGAATTTGTATAAAAGCCATTTAGGGCCAAGCTAGAAATGAAGGGAAATCAACATATTCTGTGTTTTTAAAACAAAATTTAAGGGGAAGGGGAAATTAACCCAAGACATCACACCAGGACAGGAATTAAACAATTCATTCCTTTCTGTTCCCTTTCCTCAAATCATGCCCCCCCGCCCCCGCTCGCCCACAGCAATGGAAAATAATATTTCCATCAAAGCAAATAGCAGCTTTATGAGGACAGCTAGGATGGTGTCAATCTTCCCAGGTAAACCAGACAGGAAACATGATCAGATGAGCTAATTCTACTTTATTGGAAGGCTACATTAACAGAATTTCTCTCTCCATCTCCTCTACACCCTGAGAAATTAGAGAGGGTCCCTTCTGAGCCTCTTATCCTTCCTATATGTAGCTGTGGACCATACCCTCTCTTATCTGACTGTTCCCTAGGCAGCATCTCTTTGCCCTGTTTCTCACGGTCTTTCTCACATACCATTACAGATGGTGACAAATCTATGGATATGAAAGCATTTTAAAAACTCTGCCCCAATGCCAGAAGCTTGATATAATGTTCTCTACCTACAATAATTGTTAACTTTTTCCTTTCAAGACTTATTTACTCAGTCTTTCAGCTATAACTGTACACTGTGCACAAAGTTTCAAATTTATCTTATTGAAGAGAGAAGAGAGAAAGAGAACCTCTTCAGGATGCTAATTTGTGCACCAGGCACCATTGTTTCATCACAAAACTTTATTTGCATAGTTGTGGCAACTTGCAAATTTAAACTTTCCTGTGAGTGAATGCTCACTCATATTACCACTTCTCTAGCAATATAAAGCAGAAGTTCATCAATGTCTTAAAAATATACTTCATCCATTAATTTCTGAGATAAAATTATTTTTTTTCAAGATCAGGAAGTCAATGTTGGAGACAGATTTTTATAAGGCAGTTTTAAAAATATACAACTCAGATTATTCATTCCATCTTTCCTGGCAGGCAGAGAGCATCATCTTGTGCTCTTGCTGGGTGACAGACAGATATATTTCAATCATTCTCTCACTCTAATATTGCTGGCTTCAAGAGAATTATGGGAATACAGAAAATTTTGCCAATAATAAATATTAAAAAGCTGGTCTAGAAGTTCAGCTACAAGAAGATGCAAAACATCACTGCATCACATTGGGTGCTTAACATAAGCAAATTTGCTTGATATATTTATTATTCTACAGCAGCATTCTTCAATCTAGCAGTCTTCAAATGTATTGGACATCACTTCCCATAATCCCAATGGCTTATGGGAGCATGGTCATTGGCTGCACTGTATTGTGGTTAGAGGTTATGGGAGGTGACTTTGAATACATTTGTAAGGCCGCAAGTTTAGCGAAGGCTGTTCTACAATATTACTAGAGAAACAATAGTTTAGGTCAGGAGTGGGGAATCTATTGTTCTCCAATATTGTTGAATTTCTCCTCAACCTCAGACAACATGGGAAGGATTCTAGAAGATAAAGTTCACCAAAATTTAGAAGGCCACAAGTTTCCAACTCCTGCCCTAATTACACTTGGCACTTAAGTATAAATATAGTTGTTTAAACATGACTTTTGGATATACTTTGGCTGATGAAAGCTGACATTCCACTCAGAACATTTTTGTAATAAGAGGAGTGCCACTGCACAGTTTACTCCCCAAATCTCAAACGAATTGTATTCTGGTATGTCAAAATCTACTTACTTTTGGAAAAGGCTAGGGAACTGTAACACTTCTGCTGCAGCCAGAATACCCAGAACATCTTCTTCATTCACTTCTGGTTCAGAATGGTACAAGTTCTTGAGCGCAATAGCAAAGGCTTCATCATATCAAGAGAATATGCAAATAAACACGTCAGTATAAATATAACAAGTTGTCAGCAAGATCTTTGGTCCTGAACAGAATATTTATTCAGACTACTATAGAAACACACACACACACAATATATATATACAGTGGTACCTCGGGATACGAACGCCTCTACTAACGAACATTTCGGGTTACGACCAGCTTCGGCAGGAAAATTTTACCTCGGGCTACGAACTCGCCTCTACTTACGAAATGGATCCGCGGCCAATTTCCCC